GTTTATTTAAATAAATGATTCAGTTATGGGCTGTTAACTTTAGGAATCATTCTTTATGTTGGGAATAAAAGTTTATTTATCTATTGTATTTTTATTATTTATTTACAATAAATTCATCAGCTTATTTTTTACACGATATTTCAATATAAATTAAATAATGAATTTCTACTATTCAATAAAATATCTATTTTTTCGGAGAATTGATTATTTAAATTCACCTGATTTATTTTCATTTAAATCTTACCGGATGATTATAATATATCTCAAAGAATTTTTTATAATTTAATAATATTGCTAAAGATTTTTTTTATTTTAATAAAACAAATATCGTTTTTTTTTCTGAAGAACAATAATTAAATTAATAAGTGAGTTTATAAATTTTTGGCTTTATTTTTTTTTAAACGAAACATGGCCTCCGTTGAATCCTCTACATCACAATGTTATAACAGGTCTCATTAAAATTCACATTGCAGGAACAGTTGCATTGTTACCATCTGAAAACACTTGCAGGTTATTTTTTGTTATATTCCGTTATATTGTTCTGTATTTGTTTATTTAAATGATATTTTGTTCATTAATTGTTAATTGTCTATTATGATATGTTTTAATTATTATTTGAATATAATATTTAACAGTTAGGGATTTTTAATTAATTTAATTTTTACTTTCACTTACGTATGTATGTAATATATAGTAAGGGTAAGTATTGCGATCGAGAAAATTTTTGAATCTGAGTTTTCAAGGGAAATAGACGTTTTCAGGTACCCTGAGTCGAAATGACCAAGTCCCGAAAAATGGTCTGTGTGTCGGTGTGTTTGTATGTTAGCAGTCTAGCTCAAAAACGAAAAGTCCTATGAAACTGATATTACGTATTTAAAATAGGTATATGCCTTAGATGTGACGGCAACATTTCCCTTAAAATCGGCTAACCGGAAGTGCCACTTTATATCAACGCTGAAACACATTTTCACAATTTTCTCAAAAACGGCTCTAACGATTTTGATTAAACTCGGTGTATCATTGTATAATTAAGTGGTCTTTAATATCAATTAGGTCTTATCCCCATTCATGTCACTTTACAGGGCTTAAATGCCCAATGTTCATATACGTCTTCCTCTAAAGTACCTTTAATATGGTTTATTTTAAAAAGTTAATCATTTCACATTATTCAAATTAATGAAAAAGTGCTAAATATAACTTTTGAAAGAATTTGATAAGTTAATAAAGGAGAAAAAAAAAATGCTGAAAAACCTGTGTTGCTATAGACTGTAGCGCCTAAACGAATGTACCGATTTCAATGCAACTTCGCTATTTTCAGTCATTTTCTCGACACCCTTTAAATTTATCTATATAACATACTTCAACGAAAAGAAGCTGGAAAAAAGTTACGAGGGATGGTAAAATTAAATTCCGAATAACTCAAAAAGTATACACTTTTTTGGCGATATTGTACATGGTTATTTAAAAGTTTACGGAATTTCCTATAAAAAAAATATCGTTAATATAATCAGACTATTAGGAACAAATATATGGTTTCTAGTTTGTTTCCCTGAAGAGGCGAAAATTTAGATAAATTTAAAATATACTTTTTTAATTGTTGAGACTATAAAAACCTTTTTTCTACAGATATTTAATAAAGTATCTTTCCTAAGAACGTTTTTCATAAGAAATAAGTACCTAAATTTATACCTTTATTCTCAGTTCTATATTTCAACATTGCAATCACCACCTCCGGAATCAACTTACTCATATTCTGCATACATAACTTTTTCAACTAAAAATATCACTAAAATGACATCACTTAAAAATATTGAAATTGGAGTTAGTCATTCTGAAGTTTATAAAAGCAAAGAAAGTTGTGTGGTTTATAAAAGCAGATGGAGTGACTAGATTTTATTGCCTTTTGTCGATATATTAAATAGACATTCTGTAATTACAGTGGCCTTAATGAATTGTTATCTGTAAGGTTTACGCTTTACCTCCGTTTAAAATGCACTTCAAAAAAATTTATAATAGCCCAGCATTGCCAGAAAATAATTTCTATTCATAGTAGATCGGTAAGTGAAAGTTGTATGTTGCGCGCACCAGATTTTTTTTTCTACTAATAAAAACATAATTTTGTTTTTATGTTACATGTTAAAAAAAAACTCAAGTTTTTTAAAATAAAATATCTTACCTAAACTAATTTTAATCAATCCAATGCAATTCATTTTTCTAGAGCAATAGATTTCAATTATGCTTAACATTTGTACATGATTATTAATCACATTAAAAATGGTCACTAAAACTATCAAACATTTATATCAAATCATGAGAAATTATTTAGAATAAAAATCTTTTATTAATTAGAATTTACAAATGACGAAACGGTTACAATATGTACATTTATATCTTATGGTACTAAAGTATCTTTTATCAAATTATGACTTCGCGTTAAAATTAATGTGGAATTTTATATTTGTTAATTGTTTTAATATTATATATTGTTATAAATTATAATAATAATTGTAATTATTGAAAGGATCGATTGCTACATTGTGTAAGTTAATAACTATAGAATATTTATCAGCGACTGCTATAGTCAATGAGTTTTTATAGCGTTATGTTGAAATATTATCATTTTTATTTTACTTATTTTATTTAAAGTATTTGAAAAAATAAATGTTATTTAAAAAATACTCAATGAAACTAAATACTACACACATAATCAGGTTGTCAGTTACAAGTTTCATAGTGACTGTTGTTTATTTTTATTTATCATATTCTTTTACATTTTTTTTTAACTTATCGGTAAATGTTTTTCCAATCATCAGAGTTATATTCACTATTGTTAGGTCCAATTTTTTCGTATTTTACTACACATTATTAATTTGAAAATTATAATTTTTTTTTTTTTTTGTTCACCTCTCTTTATCGACTTATAAAATTTTTCTATTGTTAAACATATTGAGGAGCGACATACATGTAAAAAAAAATAATAAAGAAATGAAAAAATAATCATGTTAACTTTTGGAATCTTCAAAAAATATTGTTTAAATGATAAAAAATATTAAATAAAACATGGTATGACGTGGCATCACTTTTAATTTACATATATATTTATTTGTGATATTTAAGATTACAGATTCTTTGATGCATAAGATGTCTGGTTGGAGTTTTTTTTTTTTTTTTTTTTTGCAAAAAGCTTTTATTTAATCAGGGGAAGTCTATGGACTACATCATTTTTTTTCTTTAAACTTTATTTATTACAGTTTATCAATAAGAGATTAAGTTTTTAGTACTCCCACAATTATATTTTTGCAGTAAAAAATCTTTTTAAAATGAAGATGTATTTATTTAATATACAATATGACGTTTTGGCATTCATTAGCCATGTACCAATAATTTAAAATAAAATAAAAGCCACAAATAAACATCTTTAAAAATACACAATATACTTCGTATTGTGCTACTTATTATGGTGATATTTGTTTTTCAAAGTTCTGATCACAAATTTATTTGTTTTCATTTTCTAGGTTTCATTAGATTATTTAGCCATTTATTTACTTCGATAAATACCATCTTTTCTTACTTTGTTTTTCTTTATCATTTGATTTATTTTGGCGAATTTTCATTTCATCTTCATAAATCAAGTACAACCACTTTGAACACATAGCTTAGTAAAAATGAATGACCAAAATAAGATAATTTGTCATAAATTTAAATTTTATTGGATTAGATATGTTGGATATATTCGTAAATTGGATATAAATTTATTTGTGATATGTAAGATTACAGATTCTTTGATGCATAAGGTGTCTGATTGGAGTTTTTTTTTTTTTTGCAAAAAGCTTTAATTTAATCAGGGGAAGTCTCAAAAACTACATATATTTTTTTCTTTAAACTTTATTTGTTACATTTAATCAATAAGAGGTTAAGTTTTTAAAAATACCACAGTACTCCCACAATTAAAAAATCTGTTTAACACGAAGATGTTTTTATTTAATATACAATATGAAGTTTTGGTATTTATTAGCCATGTACCAATAATTTAAAATAAAATAACAGCCACAAATCAACATCTTTAAAAGTATACAATATACTTCAAAGTCATGATCACAAATTTATTTGTTTTCATTTCCTGAGATTTATTAGATTATTTAGCCATTTATTTATTTCGATAAATACCAGCTTTTCTATCTTTGTTTTTCTTTACTATTTGATTTTTTTTGGCGAATTTTCATTTCTTCTTCATAAATCAAGTCCAACCAAAGACTTTAAACACGTAGCTTAGTAAAAATGAATGACCAAAATAAGATAATTTGTCATAAATTTAAATTTTATTGGATTAGGTATGTTGGATATATTCGTAAATTGGATATAAATTTATTTGTGATATGTAAGATTACAGATTCTTTGATGCATAAGGTGTCTGATTAGAGTTTTTTTTTGCAAAAAGCTTTTATTTAATCAGGGGAAGTCTACGGACTACATATATTTTTTTCTTTAAACTTTATTTATTACATTTAATCAATAAGAGATTAAGTTTTTAAAAATACGACAGTACTCCCACAATTATATTTTTGCAGTAAACAATTTTTTTAACAAGAAGATGTTTTTATTTAATATACAATATGACGGTTTGGCATTTATTAGCCATGTACCAATAATTTAAAATAAAATAACAGCCACATATCAACATCTTTAAAAGTATACAATATATTTCGTATTGGGCTACTTGTTATTTTGTTTTTTTTTTTTTTCAAAGTCATGATAACAAATTTATTTGTTTTCATTTTCTAAGATTTATTAGATTATTTAGCCATTTATTTACTTCAATACATACCAGCTTTCCTTACTTTAAGTTGATTTTTTTGGTAAATTTTCCTTCCTTCTTCATAAATCAAATCTAATCACTTTGAATACATAGCTTCACTTTGACTTACGTAGCTTAGTAAAAATGAATGACCAAAATAAGATAATTTCCCATAAATTTGATTAGATTAGATACGTATCCATTTTTATTTGACAGACAGACAGACAGACATACCTGCTATCGGCCTGTAGAAGCCGGGCACCCCTCCTACCCCGGGACAGACTAGACGCACCTTCCTCCGCATCGCCACAAGCACTGAGGGCAAGAGGCTACCTGCTCCACGCTCTGTTAACTCCACCGATAGTGGGGGTCTTTGTCCGTCCGTATGTCTGCGCTCTATTGTACCTCCACAACAGTACCTCATCATTGTGGATTGTGGTACCTCTTGGTCGAGGTGTTTAGCCGTGATTGATGATGCGTCAATGGGGATGATCGCTGGATGATCAGTGTTAGGTCGATTAGGCTGGTCATATAGTTCACATATTTCAAACAATATCACAAGTTTATTATGTACGGAACTGAGATGACAATATTTTGTTGAAGATCTTTAGGCGCACTTGGCCCTTTTTTTGTGTGTGGTAAATGAGACTGACCCGTCAATCTCGGATATGTAACGCTCATTCGTGTAAAGTGGGCTCGATTTAATTTTTTTTTTTTTTCATTTGGATTACAATATCTCAGAAATTGAAATTCTGCATACTGTAAGCGACGAAAATTCTCATAACAATAGAATAGAAAATAATTTTATTCTGGGACGAAGTCCCTTTTTTATAATAACAAAAAAGTACAAAATTAAAATATTATATCTGACAAAATAAACACAAACATAAACAGTAAAAATAAAGATAAGAAAAGAAATAAGTAAAGAAAATATCAGTTATACATACTATATACAAAATAAAAAAATAAAAAAATCTATATATAAAACTCTTGAAACCATGTCAAGACATTTAAAATTATGTAAAATGGTAAAACATGAATATACACTTTTAGAAAAAATAAAAAATCCATTACATTCTTCATAACAGTAAACTCTGTGTTTCTGCTGAAAAAAAAAAAGAAAGTCGAATCTGATAGTAAGTATTTAAGTGATGACCTATATGTAAATACATCATTATGGATAATATGTAATTTTACATAAAAGATTAGCGGGTATCAGACTGTTTTTGGGACAGGAATTGGAATAGGAGGGTTTTGAATATAGATAGGGATGAAGAATGTCGAATTTTGATAGGAAGTTAACAATTAACTGTTAAAAATTAACAGAGCGAGCGATAAAGGAGTTTTGGAACGAGGCAGATCTGTGAGAAGGAATGTAAAGGTCGGAAGGTCGAGATCTTGTGGAAAGGGAGTGAACTGAGGACTTGAATTGGAGAAGGATGTAGGCGTAAGAAGGATGATGATTGTTGATGATTTGATAGAGGAACGTACCTAGGAAATATTGTATTCGATTGGAGGGAAAGAGCCACTTTAATTCAGTGTAGGGTGAGAGAGATGGGAGTATCTAGGGGCACCAATTAAAAATCTCACGCAACTGTTCATTAGTCTTTTCAGTCTGTCACGGAGCTCGATCGAGAGTCCATCATACAACACACAGCTGTAGGTGGCGGAAGCGATGGAATAGTTTGAGGGTAGAAATTGTACGTCGGGAGATGTGAGAAATATGGGGATTCCTGGAGAGGGTTTGATTAATGAATAGTCCTAAAGTTTTTACAGAGGAGTAGAAGGAGATTGGCTGGTCACCAAGGTTTAGTATGGGAAGGTATCGGTATAGGATCTAAGGATGGGCTTGGAACCAATGACAATAGCCTGAGTTTTTGCAGCATTTAACCTTGATCAGTTTAAGTTTCCCCAGTCCCTTAAACAATTATTTCATCTTTTTTTATAATGAGCTACTATTAAAAATTGTATCATGAAGCGGCGCCGCACAGTGGTCGGAAAAGGCACAAAACGGCAAAAACCCAGGGAAACTTTCAATTTAAATCACGGGCGGATCTACGGAGGGGGGGGGTGGACTTTCAGGCTGAAGCCCCCTTCCCCAAAATGGTAAAATATAACCATGTTTTATCGAAAAAGATATTAAAAAAGTATCTCTTAAAGTATTATTGTTCGTGTAATTACATTTAAAAGAGCTTTAGGGATCACTTAAACACCATTTCATATAGGTAGTTAGTTTCTTTCTTTTTTTCCAAAGTAATTATCGTTATTTTTATGAAGAAAACAACTTTCGGGCTTAAGCCCCTCCCAAAAATAAATCCTGGATCCGCTAGTGATTTAAGTAAGATATATGAAAAACGGAATCTATTATAGCATGTCGGGCATTCTGAATTAATATACAATAAAACCATTTGTGTAAGACCAATTGCTATTATTACTGTTATTTTTTTCAAAAATAAGTAAAATATATTTTGCATGTAATATGTTGTAAAAATAAAAATTTATTGTATAAGGTTATTGACCTAATCAATTATAAAAATCTATTACCTATATTACTATCAAGAGGACATGGTGGTAAGAGAAGAAGATCAAATCAGCCTTCAACTAAATGAAGATAATACCAAATACATGGAAGTTAGCTGAAAACAATAACCCAGTATCAAACAAGTCACGAAATTGTTTGAATTTCTTTTCAACCTTTTCCTTCGAAATTTCTTTCATTTTTTTTTTGTTTCTATACTTTTCTTCCAGTTTTCTATGACGGAAAGGAATAAATTATATTAGGTATAAATTTATTTAGATGCAGGTAGGAATTTTGTTTTTCTCCTTTCTTGACTGAATTTGCCAGATAATTACCTAAACCTCAAATTACCGAAATTGATTTCTGTATTAATCATTAGTAGAGGGTTCAAAGAACATTTTGATTATAGTAAGACCTTGGCGGTCGTTGGCGAGAGGTACTTTCCGATCGAAACCCGAAATTCCAGGATCCTTTGAGTGATAACTTATCCAATAAAAATAAGAAATGTTTAAATTTATTAAGAAATAACTGTTTTAAGAATTTATTTACTTATTTGACTCATATCAACAAATTAACAACAAAAAATATGTTAAGAATTCACCGAAAACTCCTAAAATATATTTAATGATTTATAACAAGTTGCATTATTAATATGGTGTAAACTGGCCTTTTATTTATATTTCATTGAAAATCTTGGAAACCGATATTTTTATTCGTGCCTAAACTATAGGAATGTATGGGTTAACTAAGTCAGACATTAAAAACATAGAAATTTGAATTATCAAAGCACCTTGAAAATAGGGGTTTTTGCCGCTCTCAGACCACTGTGTGCCGTATTAGAGGCGAAAAAAACATAACAATTAGTGCCAAAAAGCCAAATAATAACGGCTGTTTTGAAGATTTGGTATAAAATATCCCAAAATATAAATACCATGGAGAATTCAGAAACCAATTTGTGGTAGTCAATATAGGTATTTGTATAGATTTTTTTTAAATATCTAGAAAAAGAAGAAATTATGTGTTACTATTTAATTTTCTGTTGCACTTACTACAGTGTCGATAAATTACTGACTCTTGTTACAGATGTAATATTTAAAAAAATGAGTTTTTGTTAGGTATTTAAAAAATAGATTTAAAAGAATCTCTACTTTTAAGAATAAAAAGTATTTCTCGCATATATATTTTTTTTATCATAAGCCTATTGTATCATTTTTAGAGTATGATAAAAACGACGATAAGTCAGAGCAAAGTTTTCTAGAGTAATTTACACACAATTGTAATTCTATATATTGTAAATGTGAAACCTATTGGGCCTACAGACTGGAACTGTGGTTGTCAACCATTAACAGATTTAGGATTTAATCTGGATCCCAAAAGCATTTGTTTTCATGTGTATAACGATTATTACTTTGAAAGAAGAAGAAAGGAACTAACTACCTATATGAAATTGTGTTTAAGTGATTCTTGAAGTCCTATTAAATGTAATTACACGAACAATAATAATTTTAGAGATAATTTTATATATTTATTTCATAACACATGGTTATATTTTACGATTTCGAGAGGGCTTCAGCCCGAAAGCCCCTCTTCTCTCTTCCCTCGTAGATCCGCCTGTGGGGGACAACTATATTTTCTAACATCAAACGCATCCAATCCTTTCAGTCCAAAGCCCTTCGAACAATAGTCGATGCTTCGTTCCGTGTATGGTTACATAGAAATAAAGCCCTACACCATGACATTAACACCCCATTTATCCTAGAAAAATCCTCCAAATTCCATCAGAACCTTACATATCATTCTAATATGATTTTTATAAAATACTTGTAAATGATGTATTATTACAGATATGTTCTTAAGCTTTCTTTTTCGAGAAACATTTTTAAGAACACGATCAAAGCGAAAATATTTAATATTTCACGTATACTCTTTGTTCTGTTTTCAACTATCTCCTCTTGTCAATTTTAGTCTGGATATTTCTATTTTTATATTAAGATGTTATATCAATTGGTTTTGCTTATTCCATTTTAAATATTTATTTATGTTGTTTTTTTCGTTCAAATGTCTCAGTAGCGTTGAGAGTTTAGTTAAAATAATATTAAGAAAAATTTGATGTGCTTGTTATTAACACAGTTTGTTTTCGTATCTGCTTTTAGTATAAATGTGATAATGTTTAACACTCATGCCAAAACTAAATGTTTTATATAAATAGCACTTATGAATGATGCTGATCAAAATCGTGACATTGATTATTAAAGTCATTGATGATTTTCGTTTCTTTGTTTTTAGTTTTGATTAAGTATAAGTGGAAGAAATCCAAAATGGCTTTCGCAATCGAGAATTTTTGTTCTCATAAACATTCGGATATGCGTTATTCAATCGTGTGCCGCAATCGATTTATAGGTTACGTAAATGATATATGGTAATTTAGTCGCCCGTTGGCAAAAACAATCTAAATTTTAGTGCTATGTTTTTATCTGGATTAACCTCTAAGAATTTCCTTAGATAAAAAAAAAATGGAAAATACTTGTAAACCTTTAATAATAAAGCTTCAAATATCCCATAATACTGCGAAAGTCAGTAAATCTTTGTAACTGTTTATATACATTCGGTTCGATCCGCATCAAAACATTCTCTTTTCTTACTCAGTACATATGTATACTTAGGCTGCAAAATACATGGGATTCTGGTTTCTTTCATTGTTACCAACCTCCAATCGATATCTTTCATGTAATTTGTATTTGTTAACATTGAAACGTCATCCCTCTTTTAGTTCATTTGTGCAATGAACAGTGATTAAATACTTTTTTAGCTATTTTTTAAACATAATTTACATTTAAACCAAACCTTTCCTTAAGGAATACTATTGAGCAATAACCAAGTGCCCGATCAATGTAAGTGTAATGTCATATTTCTTGTCTCTCTTCAATTTCTTTCCTATAGGGACAATTTTGGGTCGACAACAGAAAAAATAAGAATATTTTCTTCATCCTTGATCTCTCCATCAATATTGAGTATATATGACTCAAACACCTCTCCATGGATCAGCCAGGTATGTGCATGACAACTTGAATATTATAGAAATTGTCCAAAGAAGTTCTGAGAAATAATAAAAATAGTGATGTTTTTAATTTTTATTTTATTGTAAAATTAAATATGAATTAAGTAAATTCATAAAGATCAAGAAGGATCCAACATTCGGAAGATTCAGATATGATTAGGGATACTTGCCGGACCATGATTCGCGGCTTGGGGGGTTTGTGACCCATAGACGCCGACTACAAGGGGGTTGGGGGGAGGGTCTTGAGACTCCCTCCTCCCCGAATGCTGCCGCGATGAGGACTCAGTACCCCCAACAAATTGCTGTAGTATGAACTTCATGAACATATCGATTGTTTACATTCCAATTCTATTGCAAAGGACTGTATCTATCTACTAGCAGATATAGTAGAATTTGTTTTACGATATTATATTTTTGATTTATAAACTCACATAAACTGTAAAAGAAATCATTTATTAAAATACTTTATTGTTTTAGTTTAAAATATTTGGTGTGACAACACCTTTTTTTCATCAGAAAGGGTGTTAACGCCGCATACGCACATGTCTTTAATTTTTTCATTATTATTTTTCTCACAATTTATCCCTTTTTTAGTGTTAACAATAAAATATTTATTTTTTTTTTTTTGGTAAAAACTGAGGGACAATTGTCTCAGAAATATATTTAAGTTTATATTAATTGTATATTTGGCTTCGCTTGCGATGTGTTATCGCGTTTGTGTATACACACCAGCACGGCAGTAATACCCAGTCTTAGGGATTAAGACACAAATACTGCGGGGTCCTCAGTCCCTAAGTAACCTTTATTGACAATAGACGTGTAGTGGACGTCTACCCCCACCAGTCCAGACTCACTTCACCTCGACTCACCAGTCTAGCGCCATTTTCGAAGATCAGCTGTTGGGCGCAGCTGAGTAATCGATCGAGATCGATACCACCCCACCATCGATTACTTGACAGCTAGATATCGGAAGGTAACAGGTTGGAAGCAGAACCTCCAACTTGGCTCATTTTGTTTTATATTCTCACCATCACCAAGACATTTAAATATTAATTTGAATTGTTTTCTTCGCTAAATTAATTATTCTTTTTGGACAGTTATTTTTTTTTCTCTTGTTTTACCTATAATTTTGAAGTTGAGTTTATTTATATTTTGTTATTGATGGTTAATTTTGTTTTATTTTCACTGGATATTGTATTTATCTTTTATTTTTCTCGTAACTTTCCAGTATTGTTCATTTCAACTTTTGTATAAATTTATAAATCTTTTATCTCAATAAATTGTAAACGTTCAAAAGGGGATTTTTTATTTTCCATTTTTTATTTATTGAAATATTTTTATTTTTTAATATTATTTTCTTGTGCATGCATTTTTCACGTTTTACAGATCTCATTTTTATTCACTCTTTTTTTCCCTTCTTTCCCAACATTTTTAATTTTACTCGAATTTTCCCCACCATTGAGGAAACGCACCGGGGAAAGATTTGTACTTCGATTTTGCAGTACCCCTGGCCCCAACAAAGGGTTTGAAACAACTCAATATCTGCCATAGATGGTAATATAGGTATACATTACCTATGTTTGCATATAGGTATATATTATATATTGTATACGATCAAATAGGATATACCCCAAACAATATCACCAGCTTTCTATCCCGTGATCTTACAGTTTATCCCCCCTCCCTCACCCCTTCCTTCCCAATATTTTTTATAAGTTGGCCCTTATGTTCAAATTGAGAAAGCTGTGAGGATTGGAAGATCCTGGACGGATGAACAGAAGCAGTGGCAAATTAATGCGTGATCCTAAGTAGCCAAGGTGCAAAAAAAAAAAGAAAAAAAAAATGAAAAGAAAAAAAGGTGGTATTTAACGAGTTTTTTCTAGGAGTTAACCAAATTTATTTTGGAATTAAATTTGAAAATGTCATATTCGATTTTACCTATCGACAAACGTAAGCTCTGTACATTGAACCTGGGTGGAGTTGGTGTCCAGGCGATAAATAAGACTGGTTGTTTATTCAGGATTTAGTTTCATTTTATAGGACTTGACTTGACTGTGCGTAACAGGTCAGGGAACGGTCTATGACATTACATTTGATACTGGCTATAATATAGTGGTATGTACAACCTGCCGTACGCCAGTTATGGTATACCTGTATCGGTACTTGTGAGGCAGCGCTGCATTGCATAAGAAGATGTAATGGATGGAGAAAGTAGCTAGGATTTGGTAGTGTGAAAGTGATGAAGCGGGATCGAGGCGATATGAGAACAGATGTTGCTGATAAAGGCCTTATTGGTCGCTGATAACCGTGTGGACACAGGTGACGCGAAGGCTCCGTTAGCTACCTAATTCCAACACGTGTCCTCTTATCAGGGCCTACGTTACCTCAAGCTTTGATTTCTGATTCGCTCACGATGGTTCCCTCCGTTTATTGATCATTCGATTAAGAACGAAGATATGGGTCTGAACCAGAGAACATAGAAGATGCACAGATTGCAATAGCCTCCCTGATTCACTCCAATGGACTCTATTCGCTCATTCCACTATCCATGATTATGGATAAAATAAATAATGCATGAATACATTTTTTATAATAATGTGTACTATTACACATCATGGACCATGGAATATAAACAGTACGAATAATACTATTTATAGTTATATTTACTCTGATTCTCCATGCTGATCTTCATTAGGAGTTTTCAAATGAATTTGCATTCGAATTCACAAGCAAAACTGGCCAATCTCCCTAACAACTGACTTATAATCAGTCTCTCCTACTGAATTATAAGCAGGATAATTATACAATTTCTTTACAACACAAAGTTTTCGTAAAAGGATCATTGATCGAGTCTCTTGTGAATTACTTTCTGTTCGTTTTTCTCCTACACATTTTATAGAAATCTTTCAAATGTTAATAACACCCACTCGCAAAATCAATCCTTAGCTGTGTGATATAGTATGAAGAATTAAATTTCAACTATATAACTTCTCATTTTACTATTAATTTTTACTAGTTGTTTGATCACAGTAATTTGGTGCGAGCCAAATATTACCCATTGATCTGTAAGTGAATTATGTTGCGCTGGTGATTGTGAAAATTGGTGTGGACTGTATGAGGTTGGATCACTGAAATTCGATACTTGATTAAATTAAACAAAATATTGAAAACATGATTATATTGCATATAATTGAATAAATAAAAGAAATAAATTTGTGCCTTTGTACAATTTTGTGGTTCTTTACAGATTAAGTACATATTGCTGATTGTGAAATTACAATTTTTAGTTTGATATTGTCATGTTAGAAGTGATTATTGCTTGGTTGAAATTGAATTGTCAATTTGGACTCACTTGCTGTCTGAAATTGAGCTTCATGGTTTTGGCCACCTCTTCTTCCTCCCCATACTTCCTCCACCAGGCTGTTCTCTTAAAGTTTAGCAACTCATATTTTCTTTCATTGTGATTTCTTAAGAGAGAGTACCTTACTGTGTGCACACTTCACCAAATGAACAGATTAACTTAACAGGAATGGTTTGCAGCAAAATGGGGGCCATAAAATGGTGGTGAAGTTCTGAATTGTACAATTGTTTATTCTTTTTTTGTGTTTGAGGGGTTGATCCCTGAAAACTAGTATTACAATTATTTATTTGGTTACAATAATTTACAATATCTTACGTCACGTGCGTTATAAAAAAAATACCGCTTCCGTTGTTACAAACGTTTTCGGTCACACATGGTTCTATATTTATATATATATATACATCTGAATTTGAAGTCGTTCTGATCAATGAAAAAAACTGCCGACAATATCGCCGATACAAATGCTAACTATCGAATATGAAAACATGAAAAAATTTTAATCCTGCACTCTAGCGATTGTAATTGTAATTAAATATTTTTAAAGAGCGAATACAAAATCTTTAAAGATTCAAAAAAGCACATATTTGTGTGAAAATTAAAACATTCTCTTTGTTTGAGCTAAATTGATAATGATATTAGAGTGGAGATTTTTATATTCGATTGTTTATTAAATTGTATCGACGTTATGAGGGTGTTCCAAAATGTATTGGAAAAAGATCAACATTGTTAATTCCAATACAACTTCAACTATAATTGATTTTTTACTGCTAGTTATGAACCTATCACTCTAATTTAATTAATTACTTTCTTTAATTTTACCAGAAGGATTTAAGTGATAAATAAATATTTTTCTGTGAATAGTTACAGGAGGAAAAAATGTCTTACAATTAGTATATGTTTTATTTAGTTTAAATTTAATCAAATTAGTAATCAGTCTAGAATTTTAAATACCCTGGTAATCTTCTATTAGCTTTGGAAAAAACTTCTTTTATAAATAAAAGATTCTATTCCAGAGTTTAAAGTAAATACCAATGATATAAACTTAGCATATTGAAGTGTGTATAACTACATATGACTTTGAATAATTAAATTTACAACCGCTAGGAAATGAGCTGGTAGTTAAGATATTTAGTATTCTCTTCATGTTGAGTTTATCCAGTCACTTGATAGGGGGACTACGCGCTTGTTTTGTTTTAGCAGTCTAGAACTTTACAACTATTACTTTTTTGATTTAACTGCTGACCTTGACTGCTCAATTAGCAGATGCAGAAATGAGCTTCCTACTATTTATCGTCGGCATTATGTAACGACTACATAAGGCAAATATAAGCTGCATAAGCCCTTACTGTAGGAGGTGAAATTTTAAAAATTACTATATTTATTTTAAAATAGCTATTCCCCTCCGAGGCGTCTGAAAAGAAGATGACCTCGAGATCTCCTTTTGTAAATACATTTTTAGAGGTACCAGTGGGTAGTTTCTCAACAAGTGAATTCATGCTATTATATTCTTTTGTTCACATTTACTGAATGTATTTTTACTTGTGATACAGATGTGAATATCATCAATAAAAAAAAAAAAAAAAAATAGCTATTCATTTTAAAAGTTAATATATAACTAGTGAAATGATGAGATTTGTCTTTTTTACTTATTTATTTACTTTTTATAGCTTTCCTAAAAAGGTGAATAGAAATCCACATTTATGACTTTTATATGCTCTAGACGATACCTCCTATACATTATTCACGAATTACGGGTTTCATGAAATTAAATAGAATTCCCCATTCGGAGTAAATTTTCTATACTATTTTTTTCACGAACTTGTTTCTGCTATTTTTATTTTAATTTATAATTTATGTCATATTTATATTTATAATTTTTTTAACACATATTTTTATGTTAGAGTTAATTCCGAACAAACAAAAAGTTGGATTTTTCCTATTAAGTTAGTGTTGTACAAAACGTCGTATGTGCAGCCTGCTACGATGGAAAAAAACAGAGAGCAGTTATACTAATAAATCATAAAGAAACAATTAGTTCTTACGCTCTGCTGTAAAACCTTCAGTTTTTACATATTGTCTTTTGCACTAACAGTAGTGAGTGGTATTAATGTTCAGTATGCACTGGAATTTTTTTTTAATCACGAATCATTAAATATGCAGTCTGTAAATGCAGAACTCTTTCACATTTTAGTATTAAATGTTGAGCGATTACTAAATTTTCAAAAACGGCTACTCCCAGATATTTTATTCTCAAAAGAAAAATGTTAGATATTTATAGCCTTGAAATATAGATATTTTTAGCCAATGAAATCGTTGAGGAAGCTAAACTGACCATACTTGACAGACTTTTTTTTTTCTAATCAACAACTGAAGTTAAAAGTAGTTTTAAATAAAGTCAAATTGATTATTTTCTCATTAAATTCTGATTGACTGCAATAAGGGAATGTGCAAAGGTAGGCAGAAAACAAACACGTATCATTATTTTCCTGTATTTAGAATATGCAGAATATCTTAAGATATTAATTAAATGCAAACTTTGGACCTATTATAATATTCATGAAAATCTTTTTTTTTTTTTTTTTTTTTTTTTTTTTTTTTTTTTTAAATTCTTTATTGAGTATTATAACAATCTGTCTGTTCGACATTGGTTATAGTGAGGTAGGATGACATTCACACCATATGTACAAAAAAATAAAATAAATAGAACAAAATAATAATCAAATGTATATACAATAGACAATAAAATAAAATAACCTAAAAAATAAGAAAATTAAAACTAAGGAAAAAAAAAATAATAACATGCATACCTATATACAATCAGGCGAGGGAACTCCAGGAGAACCCTGCGCTACTCTTCCAACCGCGTCACTGGTACTAAAGCCAGCGGAGATTGGTCGAGAGCACTTTAGCCACATACACACATGTCTTGAGTGAAGAATCTGGCCATTGCCAGAACTCCAATTTATATAATTTACAAAAGGTCGCGAGGCCACTGCCGTTTCAACCTTCTTGGAGGATTATAGGGATGGGAGATGCTTGATAGGGATTGTGCAAGAGGATTTGGGTGGTAAGTAAGGTTCTGGTGAAATTTGGAGAACTTTTCTGGGATAAGGTCTAGGACAAATGGGATGTTAAGGTCATGATGTAGGGTTTTGTTGGATACATAGAAAGGAGCATCGACTATTGTTCGAAGGACTTTAGACTGGAAGGATTGGATGCGCTTGATGTTAGAAAATTTTGCTGATCCCCACAGTTCTAGTCCGTAAGTCCAAATAGGTTTCAGTATTGTCTTGTAGATCAGTAGCTTGTTTTCAATGGAAAGTTTAGATTTTCTGCTTAGTAGTCGGTATAGTTGGCCGTATCGTCGGTTGAGTTCTTGTCTTTTGAGTCTAGTATGCGGGTTCCAAGTTAGTCTTCGGTCTAAATGAAAGCCAAGATACCGGACTGTGTCTGAATAAGGAAGCTGGATGGAATTAAAGAGTACTGGTGGACAGGAATTGCGTCGGAGTGTAAAAGTAATGTGTTGGCATTTAGATTCATTAACTTTAATGCGCCAGTTATTACACCAGTGCTCAATCAAGGTGAGATGACTTTGGAGATTTAAGGATGCTATTTCGGGATCAGAGTTGGATGATAAGATTGCGGTGTCGTCAGCGAATGTTGCAAGAAAAGTATCGGGATGAACAGGGATGTCAGCAGTAAAGAGGATGTAAAGCACGGGACCCAAGACGCTGCCTTGGGGAACACCGGCTTTAACGGAGTAGATATTGGAAAATTCTGTTCCACAGCGAACTCGAAAGGAGCGGTCAGAGAGGTAGGATCGGAG